TAACAGTTCATACCTGTAATCCTAGCACAAGGAAGGTCGAGGGAGAGGGGGTTCAGTCCAGGACACACAGTAAATTTCAGACAAGACTGGCCTGATTTGACACTGAAACCCTGTCTCAAAAATAAAATAAACAAAAAGGTCTGATCTTCAAGACATATTGGGTTTTATATTTTCCTAAGAAAATAATTTTTAATGTGTTTCACCAAAACCAATATACAAATTGAATGCAATTACTGTCAAAACTCCAACAGTTTTCATTGAAACAACAACAATCCAAAAATTCATACAGAAGCACAAGAAACACTGAGTAGCCAAAGCAAGACTGAGCAAAGAGAATACTGGTGTTACCTCATTTCAAGATACACTACAGGCCATAACAAAAGCAGTATGGTACTGGCACAAAAACAAACTTGTTTATCAGTAGAATAGACAGAGGGCACAGAATAAAACCCACAATGACAGCCACCTGATTTTTTTTTTTTAAAGAAAGATGCCAAAAGCCTATTCTGAAGGAAAGCCAGCCTCTTCAACAAACAGTATTGGCAAAACTGGATATTCACACGTAAAAGAACAATACTAGATCCATACCTCTCATCCTCATACCAAAAAACAAAACAACAACAAAACAAAACAATTGAAAATCTTAATGTAAGATTGAAACTTTGAGCCGGGTATTGGTGGCACACGCCTTTAATCCTAGCACTTGGAAGGCAGAGGCACTCAGATCTCTTGTGAGTTCGAGGCCAGCCTGGTCTACACAACAGGCTCCAAAACAATACAGGAAAACCCTGTCTCGAAAAAAACCATAAATAAATAAATAAACAAACATACAAATAATTGAAACTTCTGAAACTGCTGGAGGGAAATGTAAGGAAAGTACTTACTTAAAGATACTGGCAAAGGCAGAGACTTTCTGGAATTAGCTCAGCAAGAACTGGCAAATGAGACTGATGAAATTAAAAGGCTTCTGTACAAGTGATGAGACAGCTTACAGTGACAGAAAATCTTTGCTATATACACAACTAACAGAAGTATCTCTTTTTCATAAATATCTTAAAAGACCACCAAGAAACAAAACAATCTAGTCAATAAATGTGCTAAGGGAATGAACAGGCAGGCAGCTATCAAAAGATGAAACAAACAGCCAGTAAATATTTTTTTTTTTTTAAAGTCAGCATTCTTGGTCATTAGGAAATAGAAATTAAAACACTGAAATTTCATTTCACTTCCAGTCTTATAGTCTATCATTTAAGAAAGCAAACACTAACAAATGCTAGCTAAGATGGTGGGAGAAAAGGCAGCCTGTATATGTAGGAATAGGAATGTAAATTAGCCTAACCAGAATGGAAATCAGTATATAAGTTCCTAAATAATAATAATACTAAAACAGAAACAAAAATACTCTATGAATTAGCTATGCCATTCCTGCGAATATACCCAAAGAACTGTAAATCAATATAAAACCACATATTAGCAGCTGCTGCTGCTTCTTTTTTAAAAAACAATGTCTAGCTATGGAATCAGGGCTAGTCTCACATTCAAAGTACTCCTCAGCTTCCTTTGAACAGGATTACAGACATGGGCCACAATACTTGGCTAACATTTTTGTGGTATCAGGAATCAAACCCAGAGCAAATTGCACAGTGGGCAAATGCTGTACCAGGGAGGTATAGCCCTACACCTGCCACCCCATCCTGAATTTACTCCTTCAAATCATTCTATCCTGGCCTCTGTCCTGAAACAACTGAACAGACCATGGCCAGAAAATCCTGAAATTCTGAATCAAAATCAATCTTTCAATCTTAAAACTGTTTCTCTCAGGTATTTATCATAGTGATTAAAAAGCTACCTAACACAGTACTCAGTGTAGGGCAAAGCAGAAGAACCCCTCTAGGATACAGTTTATAAAAGAAAACACGCCTCAGTGGGACAAGAAGAACATGAGTTTTCATGGACTTAACATTGTGCCCCATTTTCAACAGTTTTGCCAAGTCCCTTCAGATACTACAAGGCAGAACAAATGAAGAAAAGAGAAGTATTCAGCATTAAAGAACTTGGATTGGCTCAGTAGTCTCACACCTGGTTTGGCAAGTTCCTAGCCATGTTGCAGATAACCTCTTTCCTGCCAAGGATACCCAGGACAGAAATGGTGTCCTCAGTCATCTGAACTTTTAATTTGCCTAAAGTTTTCAAGTTTCCTCAAGCTCTTTACTGACACCTATTTATTTTATCCCAATTTTAAATTACATGGTAAAGCAAATTAATAAAGGGATCTCTTTTTAGGTAATCTTCAATTACCCTACCTCTGATTTTCCACGTATTATTTAAAAATAATAAAACCACATTGTTTGAGCTATCATCTCACTAGTTACAAGTGGCATTCTCCCCATTTGCCAATGTTTTGAGAATGCATACAATTTTTAGAATGATATGCTGTTACCGTATCTGGGTGGACCAAGCAGTTATCTTCCATAAAAATGAAAATGGTGACATTCAAGTATTTTATATTTATATTATTGTTTTAAACATAAAACCTCACCTTTTGTTTATGGGATTTCAATATTGCCCATAAAGTGAAATAACAAATCAATAGAGAAATTCCTACAAAATCAAAAGCACTGTAATATCTTTCTGAGTAGTAATCCTTTATTTGAACCTGTAGTTTCAACACAGTAAGCTAGAACAACTTATAAATGCATTATACTGAATAATGGGTGTATATTAATCCTTTCAGGCCACAGGGGAGCTATTGAACAAATTACTGCTCCATGTACTGACCACTGTCTACTGGTTCAGAACAGTACTTTGCCTATTAGAGGTAAAGCATTATTATCTACTCATTCTCCAAAGGCTCATTATTTGTTGTTTATTTAAACTAGTGGAGAATGAAGAGGCCAAGTGGGGAAGGGAAGGTTTTCCATATTTTAACACTGACAAACTTAAGCTACTAAAAGAAAATGTGGGTTTCCACAAAGCACTATTAATTCATGAGCCAAATAAAACAGGATGACTTCCTCAAATTGTATTGTCTAAATTTTGTTTTTTAGAAAAAGCATTCCAACAAGAGAAGAGCATCAAGTTTTACTAATCTCTCTACATTTTAATAGATAACAATAAATCCATTATATTAATCTTTTTCCAACTACAAGTTATCACATTGCCTAGTGCTGGTTAAAACAATCCAATCTACTGGGCAGCCCTAAATTTTGATTAACCATTGTTAACATACAATTAATGTGCTGATGTGTAAGTCTGGAAACCTCTGAAGAGGGCCCCAAAATACCTTTGGATGCTCTTTTCGGAATTTAAATAGCCTATAGCAAGGTATCAACTAGTCGGAGTAATTCTTTATACCAAGGGTATCCTCAACTGTGTAGGCAAAGAAACTAATTAAAACCCCAACCTAGACACAGAATAGTAAGAAACTAGAAGAGATACAAGTCCAGGGTCTCCTCAGAAAGATAAGACTGGTGCTGAAGTTAATTAAGGTATCTATCAGCATTCATCTGAACCCATTTCTGGCAAGAGAGCTTGTGTTTCAAAAATGTATTCATATTTGGCTATCACAGGCAACTTTCTATTATTCATAAACAGAACTCAAGTTCAAATTTCTGTAGAATTTTCTCTTCTGGCTTAAAAAAAAAGCTAGACTTGAATGATAACATTCAGTACTTGCAGCTGCCACTGAACTGTTCGCTGAAAAAATTAAAAAGCAACTTGCCAAGGGGAGATACATGTAGTCAGCTTTTCTTTTCCTTCATTTGTCATTTAATATTTTATGCCATGTCCAAGATCAATGATGCCTCCTTTCTTAAATAAAGGTTAAAGTAAATCTTGAATAAAATACCAATACTTGAAAGATTCTCAATGAACTGAATAAATAAGCCATCTGTGACTCAGGCTCCCCTATGGCGATTTTTGGGTTGACCCACTTCTGCAGTCACCATGGTACACAGAATCTCACTTCTCGGGGGGCAGCAGTAATGGCTATGTGTCAGCGCATAGTTTTGAGCCCAACAGGGAAAAAGGCTGAGGCAAACAGTACCTACAAAAGGACACGGGTCTTTATTTAACATCATCCCCAGTCCCCACCTCTAAAACAGAACTTCAACACCGGCCTCAACCAGAAGCAGTCTTTCCTCCAACAGAAGAACAGATCAAGTCTGCAGGGGAGAAAAGAGGGCAGGCACAGATTGAGAAACCGATCAAGTGTTAAAAGTACTTGGTATGTCTGGCTTTGGAGATCACGACACCAGGTTTGCAGTCAGGATAAGGTCGGGGCCTCGGGAACTCAGTTCGCCGGTCAGCTCTGCTCCAGAAAGCTCTGAGGACACGACCACAGGACGCTAACCTGAATGTCCTCAGGCGCCGCGGCCAGGACCTGGATCCCCCCAGGCGCCCTTCGCCGGGCCTAGGAGGCAGAACTTTGCGCAGCTCGGCGCCAGCAGCCCGGAGACCGCCTAGGGCTCATCCCAATCCCACACCCCACGACTAGCCTTGCAGGTTTCGTCTCTACAGGGTTTAAGCGGCGGGGGGGGGGGGGGTGAGGGGGGAGATGGAGCGGGGAGGCGGCGGCGAGAAAGTACTAGAAGGATGCCAAAGCGCAAGCCGCACTACTTGCATCCCGCTCGCCCCTGCGGCCCAAGACGCCGCCGCCGCCACAAAGGGAAGGGCCTCGCGCCCCTGCTGGGTCCCCACCACGAGCCACTCGCCGCGGCTGGGTGAGGCCGGCCGGCGGGCGGGGGCGCGCGGCAGGTGACAGCCCAGACGCGGGTCCCCGGGCCCCAGTCGTAGTCTCCCCGCCCACCTCGGGCCTCGCCCACCCCGCGCGCTCCCCGAGAGAGCCGGGAGACCTGCACCTCACAATGGTCTCGGGAAGGGGACAAGGCCGCCGCCGAGCGGAGCGGCCGAGGGGCTCCCGCACGCCACGAGCCGGCGCCGGAGCCCTGAGGTGCGCGGGGTCCCCGCCCTGCCCGTCGCGCCCGCGAGCCGCCTCCTACCCTTTGGCGTGTTCCGTCTCCTCCTCATTGTCTCCGTCTATTCCGCACGTGTCCTGGTCGTCCAGCTCTAGGCTCTGCTGGCTGGCCGCAGACTCGCTGTCCTCCGCCATCGCGGCGGCTCCGAGCGGCTGGGGAGGCGGCGCTGCGAGCAGCAAGCGAGGCGCGACAGGGCGGGCGCGGCCGCAGCTCCCTCTAGTGCCGCCCACCCTCGGGCTCCGAGTCTGGAGTCTGCGGCCCCGCCCATCCATCTGGCCACGCCCACCGCAGCCGGCGCGGCCCCGCCCTCCCGCTCGCGGCTCCCGCCCCTCTGCCGTCCCGCCCGCCTCAGTCAGCGCGGCCCCGCCCACATTTCGTGTCCGCTCCCACCCACTTCATCTGTTCGCCCACCTCAGCAGGCACGGCCCCTCCCACCTCGCCCTGCGCTCCCGCCCACCTCAGCAGCCATGGCCCCGCCTCTCTCGCCCTCCCACTTCCGCCTACTTTAGCTCGTGAGGCGCCGCTCGTCTCGCGTTCCGCTTCCGCCTCAGCTGGCGGGGCCCCGCCTATCCCACCGGCTCGCTTCGGCCCCATTCGGCCGGCACTGCCCCGCCCACCTCGCTGGCCGACTCCGGCCCTTTGCAGCCTTCACGGCCCCGCCCACCTCAGCCAACGGGAGTGCTAGGCGAGGCTCGCCCTTCCTCCGTAGTCTAGAGAAGTGAGATGTTCGTGCGTGTGTGTGTGTGTGTGTGTGTGTGTGTGTGTGGATGACTGTAGAGGCCGAGCCCGAGGCTGTAGGAGGTGGGGCGTGGCCTGCATTAGGATGCTCTGGAGTTTCTCGGCTGGACCTGGGATCTGTAGTTCCCTGCATGTTGAATTCTAGTGCTGTGCGTCAGCGTTTGCAAGCCCTGGTTATACGATTCTGTACGTCTAGTGTTCCTTAAAGGCTCTCGGCTTCTGCCGGGATTTTTTTTCACTTAGGCCTGCGATTTCCTGAAGCTCTCCCTGCCTCCTCTCCCACATGTACTTGAAAATTTTCCATTTCATGTTTCAATATCGAATGCTTATCAAGCCAAAGTCAGAATGCTCCAACCTCCCCACCTCGCTGTTGCAAGCAACCTCAGAGCCCTAAACAGAAAATTACCATAGCTGATCTCATTTGCTCGAGATGGGTGCAGCTGAGAACAGAACGAACATTTTGTGAGAAATCCTAAAGACCACCAAATTGTAGAATTGGGTAATTTCAGGCACTTCATCTGCCTTCTTCTAAGTGAAGGTCATGACCTAGACCTCCAAGCAAACGTGCATGGATGGTGTTGAAATCATCCTCTAACGAGGAAACGGGAGAGGAAGGAAGCCAAGCATGGTGGCCCTTGCCTGTTATCCCTGTTATCTTGCGGTCAGCATCCACTACACACATAAGGACATCTTGGGCTGTAAGAGACTGTCTCAGGAAAATAAAGGGCCAGGGATAGAGGAAAGAGACTCATGTGTGTGACAGATAAGATGCAGGTGAAATTCACACTGCTGTTAAATGCTTCCCATAGCAGCTCTTTGCTTTCCAGAGATAGGAAGAATTCAAAGGCCCTGCCAGACCACTGGAAGTCTTCGAGGCAATCTTACATTGGCAATTGCCACAACTCTATAAAGAGGGAAGGAAAAAGACCTTAAAAACCACCCGAAAATTTTAATGTAATGAGGAGACACCCCAACACACACAACAACGGGAGAATGTAGTTAAATTGCAATGAGCTAGAATGACCTAGAGACAAATTGCAGAGCAATTTCAAAGTTCAACATTTGTTTGATGTTCTTGTAAATGGGACCCAAACATGGAGAAAATGCAATTTTGGCTTTAACAATTGCAACTATTCCTGAGACAAGGTCAATGTGGCCTTCAGATTCAGACTTTAGGATAAAGGCATTCACAGATGAGTGAGGTTCCTGCCCCTCATCCCTATGAACATAAATAGCTGAATAACCTGGCAACAGTGCTCTAACCAGTCAGAGGGAGTTGTGGCAGAACAGACTGGGGAAATCAGCATGAAGATTAACATATAAAGGAAACCAGTAGGCAGAGAAAGCCCTGGATCCTTTTTTCCCCTTAGCTCACAGAGCATGGAATAGGAAATCACATTATATTCAAATATGTGAGAGAATGTACTGTGAAGAGTCATGTGCCTCCTGACCTAGCACTTTGGGGGTTTTCCCTCAGCCTGCTAGCCCACTGAATTCTGGGAAGTGCCTGTTCATAATAAACTAACTCTACTTCTAACCATGTGTCCTTGATGCAATCTTTTTCTGGGACACAAGAGTCAGGTGACCTCAGATCCATGCCTGTAATAGGTTCTCTCAAGCATTTTTCAAACTCCAAAGCAAAGGAAATACAGCACACTTTTATTTCAACTTTCAAGAAACATCGCCTACGAAGAGGTAAAAGACTAAGAAAACAACCCTGGAGGAGAGGGCATCAGAAACCAGTAAACATCAGGAAATAGTGACAAGCAGAGAACATCTGTTCTGCAGACTGGGAAGGAGCTGTGCCAGACATTTGCACAGTGTTAGATTGAAGCCTTATATAATTCAAACGTTTCTTGGAAGAATATTAATCTTTTACAGGAGATAAAAGTTTGTGAACAGTTTGGAGGAGTCCTAAATTCTATTGTCATGTACAAAAACAGTGTCTGGAAAGTGCTTTACTTCTCTCTGGCTTCATCTAAGAGTCTAGGGAGTCAGAGCCAAGTGGCAACTTCTGGTAGATGAAATCCAAGGTTTAGTGGAGGGGAAAACATTTCCACAGAGTTAAAAGTGGCCCTTGGGAATTTCTCCTTCTGCTTGGCTCATCTTCTATTAGAAGTATATGACCATGATTGTGTAGTTGGTCTTGTTTGTTTGTTATTTAAGTATGTTTTTAAGTGTCATAAAATATACAACATAGAACTTATTGTCAACCATTTAAAAAATATGTAGTTTGGCTTCACTTCACACTACTGTTGCCTAGAACATTTTTCCTCTTGCTGAACTGCACCTCTATACCATTAAGCAGCTCTCTTTTTCCATCATCTGTGTGAACTACTGTTCTATTTTGTTTATTATATAAATTTAATTACTGTAGGAAAGTCATATAAACTCTTCACCTTTCTTAGACTGATTTATTTCACATAATACAGGGAGCTCAACATCTCGTATGTTAAAGCTCATGTTGGCTTTTACTTCCTCTTGAAAGCTAAATCGTATTCTGTTGTGTGTATGCCTTATGAGTTCATTCATTGGTGGGCATTCGGTTTCTCCCATGCTTTTGATACTGTAAAAGCAAGACCTTGGTTTCAGTTCTGTTGGATAATTCAAGTGAAGTTGTTGACCCATATGGTGCTTAAATTTCTATAGCAGCTGATCAATGTACATTCCTAGCGAGAATACAAAGGGTTTTCACTATATCCGCTCCAGTGCTTGCTGTTCCTTCCTTGCCCCACTTTTTTCTTTTTTTTTTTTTTTCTTTTTTTCCCCCAACAACAGCAGTTCTCCAGGGTATGGATGATATCAATGTAACCATGGGCATATAACACTTTTATATATAAAGTACATTTTAAAGCCAAAACAACTATAAATATTATGCATATATGTCCATGTTTGTGTGTGCAGATACACAGACGATGTACCTGGGTATTTGGAGGCCAGAGGACAACCTTTGGTCTCATTCCTCAGATGCCATCCACCAGTTCTTTTGAGACAGGGTCTCTCACTAACTTGGAATTCAACTATGTAAGCAAGGCTAGTTGGCCAGTGAGCCCAAGGGATCCCCTGGTCTCTGCTTCTCCACCATTAGGATTGCAACAATGTGTTACCATTCCTAACTATTTTATATAGCTTTGGGGGATCATACTCAGGTTCTCATGCCTGGAAAGCAAGCATTTTACTGACTGGGGAATCTCCCCTACCAATAATGAAGTTTTTGATGCTATGTAGAATGCATATAATGCATACACATAATAATTACTTATCTGTAGGTATAATTATCAATAAGAAATATTCAATAAAATTGTACAAATGTGTTGCCGGAATATTAAAGATGTGTTACTTTTTATGCTGTGGAATATTTGTTTAATGATGCAAAGATGTGTTGTATTCTTTTATGTTGCATTTGTTTAACTCTGTAAAGCAAAGTTACTTTGCCTGTCTAAAACACCTGATCCATCTAATAAAGAGTTTAACAACCAATAGCTAGGCAGGAGAGAGAAATAGGTGGGGCTGGCATGCAAAGAAAATAAATAGGAAGAGAATAGAGAGAGGGAGGAGGGAGAAAAGGAGGAGAGAAGCTGTCAGGGGGCAGTCACCCAGCAACCCAGCCACCCAGCCATCCAGCCACCCAGCCATCCAGCCACCCAGCCATCCAGCCACCCAGCCATCCAGCCACACAGCCAGCTATGGAGTAAGAAGTAAAAAAAAAAAAAAATACACAGAATAGAAAAAGGTAAAAGCCCAGAGACAAAAAGTATACAGGGTAATTTAAGAAAAGTTGGCTATAAATAAGCCAAGCTAAGGCCAGGCATTCATAAGTAAGAATAAGTCTCCATGTATTTATTTGGGAGCTGGGTTGAGAGCCCCCAAAGTGCAAAAAGTGAAAGAAAAAAAAAAGCCCTAATTACACAAATGGCTTTAATTACAAGGAGAAAAAGTATACAAGCGAATCTATCTGTGGGAGAATAGTATATATTAGTTGTAATGCTACCTAGTTCTGAACCTCAAAAATATATTTGAGTGTTTTCTTCTTTTTTTCTTCTCTGAAACTATAGTGTGAACAAGAAGTGGGTTGGGGGAGAGGTTTAAGAAGATAGCAGATCAATTAAGAGATATGTCAATAAGACTCCAAAGGAAATATCTGATTAAAACTAGAAATGTAAAGATTCATCTTGAGCTTACATGTTTACCAAACTAACTTGTTTCTCCAAAAGATAGGAACTATTAAAATGCCTAAGAGAGGTTTAAGGAACTGGAGCCTAGAATGTGAGGAAAGGATCCAGAAGTCAGGTGACAGAAATAAGAGTAGGAAAGTTGTAATGAAATTAAGAGATGGGGTGTCTGAGGCCTTGCATGCTTCTCTGTTTCTTGGAGTACTCGCCTGCCATGAGCAAAAGCTTGGCTTAGCCACATCTGGTCTCCAGTTCCTGATTAGTACACCAGCCAACCACAGGTATGTGATGGAGACCAGCAGAAGTCAACATCATGCTCCACCCCCAAAGATTTTAGGGG